TTCCCTTTATATTCTAGATCTTTTGTTTTTCCAAATGAATTTTATTATTTTTTTCAGGTTCTATGAACTATTCCTTTGATAATTTGATCAGTATAGCATTAAAAGTCCAAGTTAACTTTGATAGTATTGTCAGTTTTACCATACTGGCCTGGGTTCACTCAGCCATGAGCACTGAATATTCCTCTAGCTTTTTAAAATTCTTTATTGCTTTTTTTTTTTGCCTTTTTTTTTTTTTGGTAAGGCAGTTGGGGTTAAGTGACTTGCCCGAAATCACACAGCTAGTAAGTGTCAAGTGTTTGGTCTGAGGCCAGATTTGAACTCAGGTCCTCCTGACTTCAGGGCTGGTGCTCTATCCCTTGTGCCACCTAGCTGCCCCTTCTTTATTGCTTTAAGAATTACTTTATAACCGAATCTTTACAAGTCTTTTGTTTGCTTTAATAGATTGATCCTCAGGTTCTTTATGAATTTTGTAGTTATTTGGAATGAAATTTCCCTTTCTGTTACTGCCTTTTGGATTTTGTTATTCTTTTATAGAAAGGCAGTTGATTTTGAGGATTTATTTTGTAGCTTTCAACTTTGCTGAAGCTGTTGTCTCAATCAATATCTTTGCTCATTCCCATCAGCAAATCCTATCTTTATGCCATTAGTTTTTTTCTACCAGATTGGCTTTTGAGGATGAAAAAAGTATCTCATAAGAGAACTAATATAACAAATACAGTTCTAATTGTCAAATGAGTAGCTATGTTTTCTATCTTCCTTTTGGAGCATATTGGGGTGATGCTAAGGTGCTCTTGACTGTGGCCTTATTTATTCTTCCTATTATTCTTGACCCCCATATGTTCTACTAATCTTTTTTTCTAGAGGTAAGGTTATGACTAACCTTGAACACAAAAGCCCAGGCCCACCTAAAGGCTGCTTCTTTTGTTCATTTTTGAGGATTGGGAGCTATTTGAAAAGTTTTTTTTTTTTAGGTCTGTTTGAGTGTTTCAAAGTAGTCCTAGATTAGAAGGGACCCCACTGAGTGTGAGGCATTTCCTGAATATAGTATTTTTCTCACCCTAAGAGCTCTGTGCTGTTTTGACTCTACAAAAATACTCTGCCTATTGGGGCTGATTTCAGTGGACGTGAACACTTCTCTGCACACTGTTTGACCTTTCAGTTCAGCGCCTCTCTTTATAAGACAATTTCATATCAATTGTTATTATCTTTAGACCTGTTTTACTTTATTTGAAACATTTCTGTGGCCTAAGAAATGGGGTGACCGTGGAGATTGGGGAACTTAGAGTCATATGAGTGTCTTTAATAAGTAATTAGTAATCAAGTTAGTAATAATTTAGCCAGTTTTTTATATTTTCAAACCTAATTAAACCATCTTGTTCTTTGGGCTAAAAAAGAGCATAATTTGTGTTGCAGATTAATTTTAGTTAAATCTTTTTTTGGTTATATCGTACTAGATAGCTTTTCTTTCATTACTTTTTAGTCTTAACTAAATGGCTACACGGCCCAATAGATAGAGTGGTGGGCCTGGAATCAGGAAGACCACAGTTCAATCCAGCCACGGATACTCACTAGTTATGTGATCTTGGGCAAGTCGCTTAACTTCTGTTTACCTTAATGCACTGGGTAAGGAAATGGCAAACCACTCCACTCTTTGCCAAAAAAAACCCCACATAGGGTCATGAAGAGTCAGATACAACTAAATGACTGTACAGTAACAAACAAATGATAATGATGTAGTCAGCAGGGATAGTTTGAGTTCACTTGTGGATCTGGGTTGAGATTACTTCTTTTTTTTAAAAAAATTTATTTAAAATTCTCCCTATTTAGTTATCTTCAAAATTATTTGTATATAGATACCAGTTGCCCTTTTCCTGGAATTTATCGTAAAATGTATTATTGGTTGGTTATTTAAATTGAGTACAGCAGATTGAAGGTAGTAGTTAAATGGTTAGACGACTCTTGGTTCCTAAAATAAAAGCCCTATTCTTGTACTGATATAGACAATTAATAAATAGTTAATAGTCAGTGGCAGTTATTGTTGACTTAGAGGGAAGTAATATGCTACCTTTGGAAAAAAACTACCCTGCCTGCGTAAGCTCAGGAAAAATGAATAATAAAATGAATTAGAACCATCTGGTCTGAAATGTCCCCACTAGGAAAAAAATTTTATTTTAAAAAATGATAATTAACAAATTTGCCCCTTTTCTGCCTCAGTGGCCTAATTTTAGAACAGCTTATTGAATTAACTGTTAGTTTTCATTGAATCAGCTGCTTGTTTTCAAAAGCTTATCCACACATTCTTTTTTTTTTTTTCCTAATGCATAAGAGCCGCTTGTTAGGCAACTGCATTGATCTAGGTGAGTTGTAATAAAGATAGTATAGAGTAGGCTACAATGAAGCCATTAATGATTTCTCTTATTGCCGAACAGAATCTTTTCTTAGTCCTCATCCTTTTTTTAACCTCCGTTCTTCATTTGACATTGCTGACCATGCTCTCTTCATGAATACTTTCTTTTCTCTAGGTTTATGTGATTTTACTCTCTTGATTTTTCTCCTACCTGTCTGACCACTTCTCATTCTCATTTGAGATAATAAGTTAATGTGTAAAGTACTTAGCCGAGCTTAAAGTGCTATGTAATGCTAGCTCTGATCTGCTAGGTGGATCATCACTCAAATTACTGCCCCCTCAACTGTGGGTATTCCCCAGAGCTTTGAGGTGGACCTCTTATTTTTTCTCAATTCTTTCTCATGTGGTGACTTTATCAACTTACATAGGTTGAATGATCATCTCAATGCAGATAACAGGCAGCTAAGAGTCAAAGTAAAGTGCTGAACCTGAAGTCAGAAAGACCTGAGCTCAAATCAAGCCTTAGACACTAGCTGTGTGACCCAGGGTAAATCACTCTTAGTTTCTTCCTCTAAACTTGGGATAATAACAGTGCCTACTTGGTTGTAAAGATCAAATGAGATCATATTTGTAAAGCACCTTACAAACCTTAAAGCCCTAGGTAAACACTATCTATTGTTACTAATATTATCCATATTCCAGCTTCAGTAGTATGTCATTAATTGTCTATTGGGCATTTCACGTTGAATGTCCTGAAGGTATCTCAAATTCATCATGTCCATCATAAAACTCATATTGCCCTCCAAACCCACTCCTCTTCCAAACTTGAATAAGTAAATGAAAAAGCATTTATTAAGCACTTACTTGTGCCAAGCACTGTGCTAAACACTGGGGGTACAAATGCAAAAATCATGACCACCCCTTTCCTTAGCAGCTTACATTCTAATGGGGGTGGGAGGGAGAGACAATACTTAAAGAGGAATGGTAGTCAGAGACGGGTATTGTAGTTTATAAAATTAAAAGTGTGCTGAGTGGAGCTATAGGGCAGTAATAATGGCAGTATTGATTTGATTATAATTCTACAACTGGAAAGGAGGGTAGGGAGAGGACAGTGCAGGTTACATGTTTAATGGCTAGGCAGCTGGTAAGAGATGGCAAAGGAGTAAAGTGAGGCACAGTTGGAACTGTGAGCCACATGAGGCACTCACTGTTTTAGACAAAGGGGGCCAGAATAGGGAATTTTGGAGATGAAAGGCTTAAATCTTCCAGGGCATGGGCTCTGGTATAGTTGGTAAGGTGTTTGGTGAGGAGGTGGCCTGTTTCTGTGGAAGGCACTACCCCTCTCACTCTTTCACCTTTCTAACCTTAATGTTGTCCCTGACTCGTCACTCCTCCCTCTCCTTCTCCTCACATAACCAACCACATCTTACTGATTCTACTTGCCACAACATTTCTTTTTTTTCTGACTGCTTCTTTTACTCAGAGCTACCACTTTAGTCCAGGCCCTCATCCCCTCTCACTTAGACCATTTCAGTGGCTACCTTAGTCTCCCTGCCTCAAGTCTCTCCCCACTCCGATTCATCCTTCCATAGGTGTCAGTATTTTTCTTTATTGTTAGACCACGTCACTCATCAGTAAATTCCAGTGACTCCCTATTGCCTCTAGGATAAAATATATATTACTCTTCTTCCCCATCCTGTCCTTTCAGCCTCATTATATATTACTGCTGTCCCCTCACTCTGCAGTCCAGCTAAACTGATTTTTTTCTTTGTTTCTCACACTCCATCTCTCATCTTTGCCATGCCCTCCCCAGTGACACCCCCACTTAGAATGTACTCTTTTCTCGTGTCAGCTTCATAGAAGTCCTCTCTTCTTTCACCACCTTTGACATGAGGCCTTCCCTGATCTTCCAGTTGTTAATGCACTCCCTCCCTAACTACCTTGTATTGATTCTGTATATGTGTACATGCTGTCTTCCCTGATAGAATGTAGGTTTTTTGAGAGTAGGGATTTTAGCCTAGATAATGCCTAGCACGTGGTAGGCACCTAAACTCTTGTTGTTTGATTGATTGCTAGATGAAGTAAATAAAGTATTTAAAAGGGAACTTGGTCTAAAGCCAGGAAGGGGAGTTCAGCTGACTTTATTAGGTGAGTTTATTCAGTAATAAGAGAAACCTTATTCTTATTGAAAATATCCAAATAGTAGAATTGATTTTTTTTTGGGTTAGGCAGTGGAGTTAAGTGACTTGCCCAGGGTCACACAGCTAGTAAGCGTTATGTGTCTGAGGCCAGATTTGAACTCAGGTCCTCCTGAATCCAGGGCTGGTGCTCTATCCACTGCGCCACATAGCTGCCCCTCCAATTGATTTTTTAAAAGCAGATAATCATTCTTGGAACAACAAGCCTTTATGGTAACAAAACCTCAATCTTTCAGCTTTTAGCCATTGCTAGCTTGTTAAAATCTCACGGTTGAGGGGGATGGGAATATTGGTATCTATAAAGTGTCCTAAATTGAAGCAGATTCCGTATTTTAGCTAACTTTGCTATTTATCAGTTGCTGTGTATATTTAGTTCAACCCCACATGGGGTTGGAGACACAATATATCCTTGTTCCTGGCCATCAGTGCTAACCTTTGGTTTCTGCCTTCTGCAGTATGGACAAAGACAGTGTTGACATGCACCAGGAGTTGACTGCTCTCAAGACCAAGTTCCAGGAGATGCGAAAGGTGATTAGCACTATGCCGGGTATCAATTCGAGTCCAGAACAGCAACAGCAGCAGCTGCAGAGTCTGCGGGAGCAAGTCAGAACCAAAAATGAACTTTTGCAAAAATATAAGAGTCTCTGTATGTTTGAAATCCCCAAAGAATAAAGCAGGCATGTTACAGTGACAAAAGTGACAAAAACTGGACCAGAGAAGCCAAGATTACATTTTCTTCTTCCCTCCCCTGCCCCTTTGTGTGGTTCTGTATGGAACCCATCGACTCATTCTCCAGAGCAGCTCTTTTCATACTTCTTTGTTGGCTGTGCTCAGTGGTTAGGTCACTGTGGCTGGTTGGAGGCATGCATACAAGCATTTTCTGGTGTGAATTAAAGGCCTACTAGTGGAAGTGAGTGGTATACTTTCATGGGGGCTGAAACTATATGGCTGCCTCCTGGGAAGTAACCATCTGTCACATTTTCTGGTTCTGACAGAAGTACTGGAGGACACAGTGGGAAAGAGGGCATTCTTTACTTTCTCCTTCCATCCCACACTCCCTTCTCCTTGGTTGTGTTCAGTGTGTACGAGGTACATACTGTTCCTATTTATGGAAGTTTCATGAAACTTTCACATAGAATTAATTGGCCAAATTACTCTTCATGCTGCTTGGGTTTAATGTGATTAATGGGTGGCTCTGTGAGAATGAATATAATTTTGAATGCATGGAGGCACCACAGAGAGGATTTTTTTTGTTCATAGCAGTGTCAGAGCCCTAAATAGCTTGTTTTCTTTCTGTTTGAGCCAGTAAAGATAGCAGTGTCAGTGGGGGTGTCAGTCAGTGAACCTATGAGGCAGTTACTGAAGCCCTCATGTCGTCCAGGTCTTGCTATGCCTACACATTCTTGCTACTCAGTTAGATTGTCCCCTGCTGTCTTCAATTAGCACATTTGGCCACACTTTTAGTGCCAGAGTAAACAATTTGCCAGGATGGCCAAATCAGCTCTAATTATCCTTTGGGATGGAGAGAGCAGGTGGTTCTGTATTGCATAAGCAGAACGTTTTTTTGGATGAGAAAGTCCTCTCCCTGATCCTTGCCCCCTTTGATGTTCAGATTCAAATGTTATTCTGGGGGAAAAAATCATTAATTTTTTTTTTTTGCTGGTCTCCTGTGATTGACTGTTAACCAACACATTTAATTCAAAGGCTCATCTAAATGGCAGTTCTGATTACTCCCATCTTTGGGTGTGGGACAGTCCTGTGAATATGCTCAGGCACTGTAGTTACATATCTGGGTTCTGCTTTTCAAATATTTGTCAAGTGCCTTCATGTTTTCCCTGTCCTGCCTCTGATTTCTGAGGGTGACCCCTTCAATTTTGTTCTGACTTCCTTGGCCGTTAAATCAGCATTGAAGTTGCTTCCCTGCCTCTTACAGACAAGCAAATTAAAATTATTTAGGGCAGGGGTTTGGGTTTCTAACCTCTGCTAATCCAGTCAAGTGCCTGGTAGGCTGCTGTGTACCTACTGCTTGCTGGGAAGTGTTCTTTGAGATCTTTTTGGAAGAGGTTCAGTCTGAAAAATTCCTGTCTTCAGCAAGTTGAACTCCAGTCATCTATTTACTGCATTATGGGGAGCCAAGAGCTCACCCACAGTAGCTAGAATGAGTCTGGTATAATAAGGCAGCAGGGAACAGTGCAGTGTAGGAGGCAAAATAGTTCTTAGTTGCTTTCCACAAAGCAGGGAGCTATGAATTTAACTTGGTTATCAGGGGAATGAAAGGCCATTTAGACTAGTTCTACTTTGTGACCTATCGCTAATTGAATCCTTTAGGGATTGATAGAGGAACTAAATCTGTGATTTCATTGGTATAGGAAACAACTGGCTGAGGAAGTACCCTGAAACCTCCACTACACGGCAGAACCTTTTCTGAAACTTAAGTCTTAGAGAAGTGCCAAGTGCACCAGGAGGTTAAATGATTTGCCCAGGGTCACACCGTGTGTGTAAGAGGGGGAACCTGAACCAGCCTGTTCTGGCTCTGAGGCAGTCTCTCTATCCCCTATGTCACATATTACCTCTCAACCAAATCCATGATTTCCTGGAAATTTTATAGTGATTAATTTGTGGGCCTAATCTAAAGCTCTGGCAGAATACCCTGAAAGGAGCTCTATGTCATATTCATTTGAATCAGGACTTGCTTGAGCTGGCTACATTAGGCCACTGCTACTTTTATTGTCTGTATCTGTGAATACCCATTTCTGGGGTTAATTAAAAATGCCTGGTATTGATGACTTTTTTAAGCTTGTAATTAACTTAATGTATCAAAAGCTTGTGTCTTTTGCTATATGCTCTCTCTCTTTCTCCCTCTCTCTCTCCCTCCCTCTCCTTCTGTCTTTAGGTTTTGTAAGGTAGGTACGGAGGCCTTGATAGTGCCTCTTTTGAATGTTTTCCACTTGGGAACACAATGATGTTATTAAACTTGAGCTTTTACAGCCCAGAAATTGGTAAATGTAAAAAATTGGGGTTTGACTCATTGCTTTGTTGATTATCTAGACTTAAAGTGTTGGAGAAAATGTCAGTAATGTAGATTAACCTGAAAAGTGTCTTGTTTCTTGAGAGGTGGTTATTAAACATTTACCAACACACTCGTGTTTATAGGATAGTAATGTTTGTCACATAGTAGCACCTTAATGAGTATGAACTGAAACCTCCACTACTTCCTATTCTTCCTCTGTATCCCACCATAACTGTATGATTTTTGCATATATAGAGGATCTAAGTCTCAACACTTTTGCTGCTTCTCATTTGCTTGAAAACCTTGGGCTCATTAAATACTTGTTGAATCACCTAGGTTGGACATCTGTGCCTTTGTGAACTTCTGTCCATTTCTGCTTTATGCAAAAGAAAGTTTTCATTGACCTGTCATGAGAACCAAAGAAATGACTCGGCTGAACTCATGTAGTGTTGGAACCATAAAAAGTCAGAAAGGAAAGAATGATATTGGAAAATATTAAGATCTTAGAATTTAAAGCTCAAAGCAATTTTAGAGAGGTTATTTAATCCAGCCCCATCAGAGGAAGAAACAGGGGCCCAGGAAACTTGAGTACCTTGTCCAAGGTCATAAATAAGTAATGGGCACTGCGAACTAGTTTGAAAGTGAATTTAAAAAAAACCCTTTGATAAGGCATTTAACTTAAATAGGTAGAGATTAAATGTGAAGGGACAGGGAAGGATAATTGTTTGGTTATAAGGTGTTGAAATCCTTCCATTTTTCCTAGCGCTCTCTATGGTCTTCTTACATATGGAAATGTTACCACAAATAGGCCTTGTGCCACTTTTGATTCTTTTGAATTTTTGCCTTTTAATTATTATCTGTAGCTTTTTTTGAGGGCAGTTCTCTTTTTGTTAAAAATGCTGATGTTATTTTCAGAATGCCAAAACTTTATAAGTGAGTTCTGGCAAAAGTCATAACGCTGGCTCGAGATTTAAATTCCACAGCAATGGAAAAGTTTCCTCTACTCTTCCACCCCCATCATTTAAAAAAAGAAGGCGGCGGCAAAGCAAGTTTTTCATTTTTAATGACTTTATTTTGCTAAAAAAAGTTAATAACCATAACATTTTCACACATACAGTATAAACACTTAAAAAAGATTTTGTTCATGTCCATGACAACATATCTACTATAAAGTGCGAGGTTTTTTTCCCTTTTTTCCACTGAAAACACATGTAAACACAGTTAGCTTTTGTTGGGTTGCCTGGGTTTTTTGACCCTCAACCACATCCCAGGTTTGATACCAAGGGAAAGAGGATCTTAGCCAGATGCTTGTGGCAGTTCAGGAGTCTTGTATTAGAAACTACCTCCTGTTTTTTGGTATTCTGGCAAAATAGTTGACAAGTTGCATACTTCCAGACCACTACCCCCACCCCATTCACATTTCTGTCCTTTCCTAGGACCCCCTATGATGGGCATTCCCCCCCCTTCCCCAACATGGCTTTGATGGGGCTCTCCAGTTTAAGTCATTTCCTTCCTTCTCCCAAATTTCAAGTGCTCCAAAGGAAGAGCACCAGTAGTCCTCCATGAGGGTGGGGAAGGTCAGATGGTAAGTACCCCTAGGGAAGCTGACTTGGAGGGCAGATGCCAGCCTGGAGCCCATGCCACCGGGGTTAGGGTCAGCCAGAACATCTTACTTTTTTCTTAAACAAAAAAAAATCTTTTTTGTTTTAGTTATTAGCTTAGTAAAAGGAGTGGGTGGCTCCTAGCTGATGACACAGCGCTCTTTGTCCTTGGCCTGGCTACCTCCAATGGCTTTTTCCCGGATGTACATGAGGTCACTGTGGACACTGGGCCTTCGGGCAAAGGGAGCCAGGATACCATAGGCCTCTCCTGACCCACCTCCACTACCCTCTTTCAAGAGTTTCTTGTTCTTCAGAGCCTTCTTGTGCAATATGTCACAGTACTGTATTGAGACCTTTCGGTGGAGGTCTGGGCTCATTTCACTGGGCAGTTTGGCCATGGTGAAGAGGGCCTGGAACATCTGGTCCAGGCTGCTGTTCTTCTTTGCAGAGATTTCAAAGTAGGCACAGTGCTGAGGGTCATCTCCAACCAGCTGTTCTATCTCCCTGGGCTCCACCTCTCTGTAAAAATCCCTGTCCCCTTTGTTGCCACAGATGACCAGGGGCACTTCAATGTTCTGCTTGGTCTTGTTCTTCAGGCAAGACTTCGTGTCTAGAATCTGCTGCTTAAGGCGTTGTACCTCTTCGAAGGAGTCTCGGTTATCCAGGCTGAAGACCAGGATAAAGACATCTCCTGCAAGAGAGAGGGAAGAAAGATACAGAAATGGTTAGTCGACTGAGCAAACCAGCAACAACTTTAACTGAGCTGGGGGGTGCGGGTGCGGTGAAGGTACTTCCTACTCTTTCTAGGGTGACTGCAACAGAAGGTCACAGATCTTATAGGGGCATAGGGGAAGGAAAGGGACGGGCGAACAGAAGCCTAACCCCCAAGATTACTACACATCACACCCAAGTTTTGGAGAATAATTATGTCTTTGGGGAAGGGCGAACTAAGTTTAGACTCGGAGGTCTGCCAACTGCTTCTTGTGGAAAGGGCAGGACAGGACAGAGATGCTTAAGTTGAGGAGAACGGGTGCTGCCTGTTCTGCTAAGGGGGACGGTTAAGGTGGAGGAGAGGCAGGAGCCAAGTGTACCTGTGAGGATGGAGAGGCGCCGAATAGCAGGAAAGGGGTGGTTGCCCGATGTGTCGAGGATGTCCAGCTGATAGACTTCCCCGCGGATGGAGTAGAACTTTCGGTGGAAGTCCTCAATCGTGGGCGTGTAAGTGTCCTCGAAGCGGCCCGTTAGGAAGCGCGACACGATGGCTGTCTTGCCCACCTTGGAAGAGCCCAGGATGACCATCCGGTAGCAGTTTTTGGCCGGGATGTTCAGCTCCGACTCGCTGGGGCACATCTTCTTGATCATCGCCGCCAGTTTCATTTGTAGCAGGAGATGGGAAGGGAAGAGCGAGAAAGTGAGGGACTTGAGAGGGGAAAGGCTGGCAGGTCCCGGACACCAGGAGCGGAGAGGGGCGCAGAGGCAGAGAGGGCTGCAGGTGAGCGCAACCGAACGCTGGGAAAGAGATTTGTCAGGCTCGGCTGGGGTCGGCTATTAAGCAAAGAGCTCGACTCTGCTTCCTTCGCTGTCGTCGCCTCCTTTATATAGAGATCCAGGGGCGGCCGCCACGCCCTCCCAGCATCTGTGCGTCAAGCCCGGGCTGGCCTCCTCGGGCTTGTGAGTGCTGGGGGGCGGGGGGTCGGGGCGGACAGGGCTGGGCTTGGCGGGGACCTGGCTCCCGGGAATAGCTGCTGTCCTTTTCCCTTAGTTTTAATTAACTGGCTCCTCTCTCAGTCCGACCTCCGGGGCCCTGGGAGGGGGAAACTGAGTCCCAGTTTCAATCCAGGCAGGGTCCACTTCTTTGCCCTCCTGGATTGCGTTGAGTTCACTCAATACAGGCGGGGGTCGTGGTGGGAGGAACCGAAGGAAATGGATTCTGGGGTAAAGGGGAGGCGATGTGCCAGAGGGGCACAGAGGTCAGGTTCCTAAGGTGAAGGGGGGTGACGTGTCAGGTACGTGCAGAGGGGCAAGGCCCTAGTGTGTGTGTACGGGAAGGGCGGAGAGGGGAAAGGTTCTGGGAGTATGGGATGGAGTGGAAGGGGAACTCGGGAGTGGGGAGTTTCCCTTCTCCGGCTGCCTTAGTGTAGGGGGCCAAATAGCATTTTGGCTTCTCTTTGCTCCTAAGAAGGGGTCTGAACCCAGAGAGATTTGGGGGTCTGGGACCCTTCTTATTTTTTTTTTTTTGAAAGTCCCTCGGGCTGATGAGTGGGAGTGAAAAGCCCTGAAAGTTCAACTTTGAGCTACTACAGAGAGGCCCAGCCTCCTCTTTCCCGTCCCGGGATCCCGTCCAGCCTTGGCCAGTGGCTTTGGGTTTTTTTTTTCTCTTTCCTTTTCTGTTTTTATTTCTTCATATTTTTGGCTACAGCACCAGGCAACCAGGTTGGAGTGGAGCACGGGGGAGCTGAGGTGTGGGAGCAGCCCCTGGGCTGGGACTGAGGCTCGGTTGTGGAGCTATGTGGACACGGTCCGCTAGGAGGCGGCAGAAGGCTGCGGACCCTAGAAGCAACGGGCTTCTCTAACCTGAGAGTTACGTTACTGAGCCTTGTCCCGAGGTGCCAGTTAACTAGCGGTTGGGAGTTCTCCAGAGCCAGAGGATTTAGGTTGGACCCAGCACTAAGTATCCTTTGCTTTCTTTGCTTTCTTCTGCTCTGTGGGAGGCAGAGGGGCTTCTTGACCCCAGGAGACACAGAGCAAAAAAAATTAACAAAAATGAAAAAACCAACACAGAGGGGAGAATTGTGGCCCGGAGTGATGCTAAGGAAGATTCTGCACTTCCAGCCAAGACAGCTGCGACAAGTGCAGGTCACTAGCTGGCCCTGCCTCACCCACTGAGACCTTTTGCCTCTCTCCTTCCAACTCACCATTTAGCTTGTTATTCACTGCCCTCCATATTTCTTTGCTTTTCTACTTGAGTATCCCTTTGCATTGCATGAAATATCGTCCTCACCTCTCTGCCTATTCAAATCCGACCCCTTCAAGGCTCAGTTCAAGCCCAGACTCCTGAAGCCTTCCAGCTTGATTACCCTCAGCTCACAGATCCCTCTCTTCTGTGAGCTCCTCCTATAGGATTTACTGTTGCTCTAGCACATTTGGGGCACTTAATTATATTATGTCTTTTAATTTTTTTTTGAGTAATAGCTAGCAGTTATATAGCTTTAAAGTTCGGAAAGCTTGTCTACATCGCATAACATTTAACAATAAGGAACGAGCGTTGGGCCCAGAGGGGCTAAGGTACTTCACCGATTATTCCCTGTTCTGTACCCAAAGGTGTGGTCTGGAGGCCTGGGGAGCCTGGCCTCTAATGAGAGGAGTAAGGTAGACAGGATCCTTACTCTTATACTCTTTAAGCTCCAACTCCAGCACAAAGTGGGGAATTTGGCTCATATCCAGAGTTTCTCAAAGGGAAACAGTAACAGGGCATACAGTGCACAAGAAGAACCAGGTATGGGATAGTAATTTATTCCAACATACTAAAGAAATGCTAAGCATACTAGATTCACAGAGCAGCCTTAATAAATCAACTTAAAATAAGATTTAGTGATTTATAATTCTGGTTATAATCTCCCGGGAGGCTGACAGTCAAACCTCGTCAGAACATAAAGCAATTTGCAGGACTGCTAATTAGGCATGTTACATTTCCTCTCAGCTCTGCCGTATCCAAACAAGTCCTGGTAAGTGTCTGCTGGTAAAATGGCCCTCTTCTTTGTGACAGCCGTCTCCAAGTGAACTAGAATAGTTGCTAGAGAATCCTCCCGTGACAACATTTAGCTCCAAACCCAGTGGACCCAGGACCTCTAGGTCTTTACAATTCACTAGATTGCCTCCAAGGCTGGACTTCTCAACCTAGAGATCTTTCACCCCAAACCAGGAAAGGACAAGCACAAAAGAGGCAGTCCAAACTCAGGTTCAGCTTTGTCTAGGAAGAATATATACTTTATTTTATTTTTTGGTGAGGCAGTTGGGGTTAAGTGACTTGCCTAGGGTCACACAGCTAGTTAGATATTGAGTGTCTGAGGCCGAATTTGAACTCAGGTCCTCTGGACTCCAAGGCCAGAGCTCTATCCATTGGACCACCTCGATGCCTCGAACATATACTTTAAATGCTATGTCTCTATAGCTTCCTGAAGTCAGTGGTCAGGGTAGGGGCAGGCTCCTCCTTCCCCCTCCTCTTGGGGAGCAGCTCAAAACAGACCTCACATAATGGATTACTAGAAAGGAAAAGAGGGCTGAGGGAGGAATTGCTCTCTTTTAGATATTCACTTCTCCCTCCAAAGTCAATTAGGGGACTTGTTCAGTGATTGTTAAAGTGCTTAACATATTGCCTGGCATGATGATGATGATGATGATGATGATGATTTCAAAGTCAGTGAGTCACACATGGCATAAAACAGGCCCTGAAGCTCCCATGTGGTTACCCAGAGCCAGGAGCAGCAACTCTGAGCATTCTACATGGGACGGTCCCTGCAGACCCATTCAACCTCATCACACATTAACTCATTTGAGCCTCAAGTTGTAGAAGAGATTCCTTCTGTGTATGGGTTGTACAATGTGGCCTCCAGGTCACCTCCAACTTCAAATTCTGTGATTATTATTCCCATTTTGCAGTTAAGGAAACTGAGGCAGGCAGGTTAATTGACTTGCCCAAGGTAGCACAACTAGTAAGTGTCAGAGGCAGGATTTGAACCCAAGTCTTCCTGACTCCAGGTCCAGCAGTCTAACCCCAGGATGCCTCTGACTGTTTCACTGGATGTTTCTCTTTTCCCAGCTACGTAGTAAACTCACTATGTAGAAGTAAACTCAGAAGACAGGAAACCCTGTCTTCTACTTCTGTTGTACTCCCAGTGCCCAGCATGAGATTTAATCTGTATGGTTTTTTAAAATCAAATTAAAGTGAAAAGGTATTAGGCAGCTAGGTAGCCTAGTGGATAGAGCACTAGGCCTGGAGTCAGGAAGACTCATCTTCCTGAGTTCAAATCTAGTCTCAGACACTTACTAGCTGCATGACCTTGGGCAAGTCACTTAACCCTGTTTGCCTCAGTTTCCTCATCTGTAAAATGAGCTGGAGAAGGAAATGGCAAACCACTCCAGCATCTTTACCAAGAAAACCCCAAATGAGGTCCTGAAGAATTAAACACAACTGAAAAACGACTGAACAAGAAAGGTCGTTGTCCATGAGCAAGTTCCCCATATCCTTTTCTAATTAGCCTTCCTGCAGATTATAATTCTAGAGCCCAGGGCTGCACTGAGCCAGGTCTTTGAGGTTACTACTGATATTCCACCAGCTGCTCTCTTGGGGTTTGTAATATGATGAAGTCTGTACATTGAGGCCTCAGTTAATCATTATGACCTTCCCCTGCCCTTTCACCTCTTGAATGTACTCCTCATGTATTTATTCTTTTTGTGTCAGAGTTACCTTCTTGTGGGGCATCTTACCCTTCTAGTCTATAAGATCTTCTAGGACTAGGTTCCACCTCAGATACCTGCTTCCATTGGGATTTAATCTCTCTCATCCTTTGTTGTCAATAAAATAGGAATTAGAAAACAAAACAAAACACTGTAGGACCTGCCTTGCAAGGGGGTTGTGGAGCTTAAATAAGATAATATACATATAAAGCACTTTGCAAACCTTAAAGAGATATCTGTCAGCTGTTTAAACCTTGTGTCTCCCCAGTGCTTAGGGGGAAAGGAACAAGCATTTATTAAACACCTGCTATGTTCCAAGCATTTTATTTATTTATTTTTATTTAGAATTTTATTTTTCCCCAGTTACATGTAAAAAAAACAATTTTAGCATTAGTTTTTAAAATTTTGAGTTCCAAATTCTCTCCCTTCCTCCCTCCCTCCCCCAACTCCCCCCCCCGCCATTGAGAAGGCAAGTAATTCAATATATGTTATACATATGTAGTCATGTTGTGAAAGAGAAGGCAAAACACTTCCATAACAGTCATGTTGTGAAAGACTAACCATATTTCCCTCTATCCTATCCCATACCCCATTTATTCTGTTCTCTTCTTTCACCCTGGCCCTCCTCAAAAGTGTGTGCTTCTGATTACCTCTTCTTCCAATCTGCCCTCCCTTCTATCTACCCCCCTTTTCTTATCCCCTTCCTCCCTCCTTTCCTATAGGGTAAGATAGATTTCTATACCCCAATTGAATGTGTATGTTTTCAAGCATTTTAAAATATCATCTCATTCAATCTTCATAACAACTCTGTGAGGTAAGTGTTATTTTCAACCCCATTTTACAGTTAAGGAAACTGAGGCAAACAAGTTAAGTGACTTGCCCAGGCTCATATAGCTAGTAAGTGTCTGAGACCAGATTTGAACTCAGGTCTTTCTGACCCCAGGCCTGGCACTCTATCCATTTTACCACTTAGCTACCGTTCCTCTCTGTAACTCCTATATACAATCACTGGCCAAGTCTTAGCAATTCTACCTCCATAAGAGGTAGCTCTCCCATCTGGTCCTTTCTCTCCACTTACACTGCCGTTACCTTAGTTCAGGGGCTCATCACTTCTCTCCTTGTCTCCTAATCTGTCTCTGTTCCTTTTGTCTCTCCTCCCTCTAATCCATCCTTCATACAGTTGCTGGAACAAGATTCCTAAGTCTGAGCACATCACTCTCTATTTTTAAAATCCTTAAGTAATTCTAAGATAAAATACAAATTCTTGCTATGGTATTTAAAACTCTCTACAATAAGGCCCGAACCAACTTCCCCAGCCTTATTTCACATTACTCTTCTTACATTTCATATTCCAGCCAAACTGGACTACAGACTCAAATTCCTTCCTTGGCTCTTGGCATTGATTCTGATTTGTAACAAACTGAAGCTCTTGCCACCCAGGAATGTACTCAACCCCTTATCACTGCCTTTCAGATTCTTTATCTTCCAACAAAGCTCAGCTCATAATTCCTGTAAGGTGGGCAATGTGAAAGATTAACGCTGAGCCCAGCGCCCCTAAGAAATCCACAGGCTAAGACTTAAAAGGGTACCAATATTGATGTCAAGGATCAGTAAAACCAAAGGAAAGCACCAGTGAATGCAGTCCAGGGCTGCACAAGAAAATAGCAGGAGCATGCAGAAGGGAAGCATAAAGCCACTATCATATCTGATAAACAAGGCCTGAAATCAGTGGAATCTTGGCCCTAGTCTTTTGGAGAAACAGCATTGTGCAAAAATCATATGCTGCCATGTCATTGTGCAAGGACACATAGATGAATCAGCCCTAGGCAGTGCATCTGTGCATCTTCCAGGAGGCCTGAAGCCAGGGCCACGGCCACATCAGGGGACATAGCCAGCTGCCAGTAGAAGTCTGCCTAGGGAAACAGAGAGGGGGACAGTGCCTTCCAGGAGACCTAAAACTAGTGTGATCTCTAATATTTGGTAGCTTTCCCAGAGGATCAAGGAGACAGAGCCAAGGATCATGAGCCAGAGTAAGAGGTGCCTTGGGGCCCTCCAGAAGGCACAAAACCATCAGTGGTTATTAGTATCACGTTGTGGCCTGTCAAGACTCCAGCAGGGTTCAAAGCCAACTTGCATTTGGTGGTTGTGCAAGGAAAAGGTGACAAAATCAGGAAAGAGGCCAGCATTTGTATTGGGGTGCCAGGAGGCCAAGGCAGAGGTCAGCAGTTGCAACAGAGAGTGGGGCATGGTCCTAGCTCTGGAACTGAGTTCTCCTGTGTTGGACCAGGACTGCAGAAAAGGGTGGAGCAAGGCAGCTGCAACAGCCAGACTGAAGTAGAGATAGCATCAGACTAACTGCCCACCTCAGCAAGATATACGGGGTAGGTCAGAAACTGGCCCGGGCACAAAGTTCCGGTCCAGGAATTGAAGCTAGAGTCATGAGAGGACAGAAGAAAACTCTGAATGCAATGAAAGAGTGCTATAAATTAAAGTAACTCAAGAGATAAGCCTGAAAGAGAGTAGTTCCACTATAAGTATAATCAAAACATCAAAGAAAGGAATTGTGACATGGCCACAAAGAGTCCAAGAGTATATGAAGGAAGTGAAGCTAGAGATAAAAAATGACATTAGAACTCTCAAGTTTAAAGAAAAAATAGAATAAAAAAACTTAGAATGGAAAGTAGAAAACACCAGTTTTGAAGTAGTGAGCTCCCTGAAAAACAGAATGGAGCACAAAACCCAGTGATTCCATGAGACAATAATAAATATTAGGACAAAATCGAAAGACTGAAAAATTAGAACACGTGAGTTATTCATCATCAGAAACAACTAATGTGGGGAATAGGTAAAGGAGAAATCGTTTAACAAAATCAGATTGCCTGAAAAGAATGACCAAACAAAAAACATAGATACCGTATCTCAAGAAATTATAAAACTATCCAGATCTATGAGAACCAAAGGCAAAGTGAAAATAAAAAGAATGTACCAGTTACCTCCTGAAAGAAACCACAAATCGGAAGCCACTAGGAATGTCACAACCAAAATCCAGAGTTTCCAGGTCAAAGAAGAAATACTATAATCAGTAAAAGAGTTTAGATATGAAGGAATCAACAGTTAGGATCACCTAAGATTATGCTGCAATTACTTTAAAGGAGAGGAAATCTTGGAATATATTTCAAAAGGCAAAAGAAAAATGGTTTACAGCATAAATAACTTACCTTGCAAAACTGAATATAATCCTATAAGGGGGAAAAGTCCCTTTAATAAAATTAAGGACTTTAAAGTCCTTTATCAGCATTTCCAGTGAAATGGCTAGAGGAAGGTAGAATCTTTGAAATGCAAATATGAGAGAAACTTAGAAAGGAACTATAATTTGAGCATTTGGAAGTGAAAATAGATTTAAAAAATGGTAAATGCTCACATTATAATAGGAGAAGAAATTCTGTCTTCAGAATCCCACTGTCTTCAAAGAGTCACAGAGAGAGTAAAGACAGATAAGCACAGACCCTGAGGATGATCTTGCTCTGTTTTGTTGGTTTTAAGAAAAGAAAGAAAAGGGTAGGGAGAAAAGAATACACTGGGGCAGAGATGGGGAACCTGTGTGAAGTTTGGGATTCAGTCACAGAGCTGCACTTAAGGACCTAGAGGGCCACATGTGGTCTTGGGGCTGCAGGTTCCCCACCCCTGCATTAGGGACAAATGGAAAAGAGGAAGAAACTTGCTATTTCTCATAATTGGCCTGAGCCAGAAGAAGGGTATAGAAACATGAAGGAGGGGGTGAATGTGTGGGCATCTCATGAACCTCACTCTTATCTGAACTAAGTAAGGGAGAGTTGAATACATATTCCCTCTCTCCCTTTCTCCCTCCCTTCCTTCTTTCCTTCCTTCCTCTCTCCCTCCCTCCCTTGCTTCTTTCCTTTTTTCCTTCCATTTCTCATTCAGCTAGATACACAGAGGAAGAGAAGGAGAGACTCATAGCTTCTCTAATTGCTGGGAATGCCAAGTGGGAGCTCAAGCTAATAGAAAAGCAGTTTTCTAGTGAGATAAGGTGTGTCATGGTGGCATTCAGTCCTGCCCGAGGCAGTGGTCTCAGACATCCTTTCTTGCTATTGTCTCTCAGGATGAAGATTTTTAGAAATCCTTCCCCTGTGGGGGAGTCTGAGGATGGTAACTAGAGAGAAGGTCCCGTCAGGAGAGAAGAGTAGTGCAGTAGTAGCGCTACCCACAAGTGAATAGGGACCAGAGAAAGAGAGGGTCATGAGTTCTCCTCCTCTTAACCCTCAAACAATGCTGTAAGTAAAATTTCATCTTGGGATTTTCTTCAAATTATTTTATTTAGGTCTGCGTATTGTTTTAATTCTTTCTTTCTTCTTTTAAGCCCAACTTTCTAGCACTACTTGCAAGCCTTGAAGATACCTGTACTATGAAAAATCTTAATTTTGATTTTTTTAAGTGCTCTTTATGTTATTTCATTTTTTCCTTTGATGTTTTGAGTTTGTCATTAAATTTAGCTCACTTCTTTGCTGTCTTCAAGAAGACTTGTTGATTGTTGAATTTTTTTAATTTTTGAAGTACCCTTTTCATTCCTTTTTATGCTACTTTATTTCCTTTCTCAATGGAATTTTCAGCTTGATTTTTGTTTTGAATCCTGTTTCTATTTCTTTTTCATTGGATTTTATTTGTGTTGTATTTTGGTTTTTCAGTTTCCCATGGGTAATTGCCTCCATTGCAACAGCTGTGCTTTGTCTCTGTGTTGCATTTGCATGTGAAAACCTGTTATTTGATAATGCTAACCGCAACCCTGGTGTTGCATTAAAGTGTTATTTAGTTGCCTGTCAGGATGAGAATGGAATGTTGTTACTGTCATTACTGCTAATTTGCATATTTGCTTTACTGTTATTTACTGTGTGTCAAAGAGCACAGCTTTCTGTTACCATTGTGGTATGACTGTGTAGCTATTCCATTTTCACCCTGTAGCCAGTCAAATGTTATCATTATGGATCAATCTTTTGAAAATTTGTTGCTTATCGAACATTAACATCCATGGGGGACTACTGATATTTGAAGTAAACTATATATGGAGGCAGCTAGATGGCTTAGTGGATAGAGTGTTGGGCCAGGAGTCAGGAAGTTTTGTTGTTGTTTTTCAGTCTTATCTGACCCCATTTGGGGTTTTCTTGGCAAAGATACTGGACTCGTTTGTCATTTCCTTCTCCAGCTCATTTTACAGTTGAGGAAACTGAGGCAAACAGTTAAGTGACTTGCCCAGGGTCACACAGCTGGTAAGTGTCTGAGGCTGGATTTGAACTCAGGAAGACCCATCCTCCTGACTTCAGGCCCATCAGTCTATCCATTGCATCACCTACCTGCCCCAGAGTCAGGAAGACCTGAATCCAAATCAAACACTTACTGGCTGTGTGACCCTGGGCAAGTAACTTCACCTCTGTTTGCCTTAATGCACTGGAGAAGGAAATGGCAAAACACTCTAGTATCTTTGCCAAAACAAAACAAAACAACCCCATGGACAATCTGGTCCAAAGAACACAACTGAATGACTGAACAACAGCAATATATGTATGGAGCTGCAGATATTACAAAAATTTTGAAGAACGTAGTAAAAGAAATTGGAGTGGGTTGCTGTGGAATAATTTACAGTAAAACGAGAGCAGCAGAATCCACTAAGGGCATGTTCTGTGAATTAACAGATCTATTTGACCATTCAGCAATTCTTGACAAAATCCACATGGGAAAGTGCACAGGAACTATCTGGCAGGCTCCTATTTGAAGTGCAGGAATTCTTTTTTTTTTTAAACTGCAAAATTAATAAGTAAATGGGATGACATGGTACAGCAATTGCAGGGCAGACTTAGGTCTGCCCGAGGGACCTCCTCAGAAATAGATACTTCATTTGTTGGTGAGGCTGATTCCACATTCTCTGTGCCAGATAGGAAGGCTTTAATTCTGTAGAGAGAGGATTCCCCTAAACCAGACAGAGGAGCATTTCCTATGGAAGAGTCAAGACTAGGTCCCTTGTGGCAAAAAGGGGCAGCTCACCCTCAAGAAGAACAGAGGCTAGCAGTTCAGCTGTACAAAGTGCCAGGCTAGGGTCCCCTGTGGCAGAAAAGGGCAGCTCACCTATGCATAAGTTGAGGCCTAGTTCCCTTGAGGCTGGAGGATTGCTCTGTAAGGAGAAACTATTCTTGAATTTTAGGTAAGAGCTAGATCCGCTGGGTGTCACAGAGAAGTGTCACCTGATAGCAAGTCTGACACTATCAGGGGAATGGAACCTGTGGCCTTGAGGTTGAAGGTTCCCAACCCCTGCACTAGATAGACACCTCATTGCAGACCACAAGAATCGGCCCAAAATAGGAATTTTCTCAAGAAAAGACCTTGGCCCTCCTGGGAAAGACTCAGCACAAGTACGGGAGGATCGCATAACCAAAGGACTGTCTGGTACCTAACAGGGAAGTGAGGAATTGTTTGATGGGAAGTACCAGAGGTCCTGAATTTGAATATTTGATACCTCTAAAGAAAAGAAACCTTGTAACCACACCTCAGGTACCATTTCAAAAGCTTGAGTAGTTCTATGGCCCTGGCCTAATGGCTGAAATGAAAGTAAAAACAAAAACAAACCCCAGAACCATTCAGTTCAAAGGGAATGACTATCCAAATGTGTATTGCGGGAGGATAGCCACTTACTGAGACCAATAGGAAGAGAAGACACTGACTTTGAAAGATCCCATATGACTAGACTGACCCAAGTAGCCAAAGCAGAGGAGGGAGAGCGGCTCCAGGCGTGGAAGACAGCCAGAAAAAATGCCCAGGGCTGAGAGATGAAGGGTCTTGTTCAAGGAAGGGCCAGAAGACCAGTGTCACTGGATCTTAGCTTGTTTCCTCATCTGTAAAAGGAAGAGGCTGGACTAGATGACTTCTAAAGCCTCTTGGAACTCTAAACTCTACAATGGTTTGAGGACCCAGATTAATGGAATATGGTCTAATGAAACAGTGAAACAAGACGTCTTCTCATTTTTTTCACCTATTATGTGAGGCCAGCAGGAAGGCGATCCTCACTAATGGCTCTACATGCCTTGGAATGATATTAGGCATAGCCCAGCATATGATGGAGGGAGCTCACCTGGGGCAGGTGTCCTCCGTCTAGCTCAGCCAGCAAAAATTCATTTGCTTTTTTCCCCCAAGAAGGGCAGAGCCAGGGGCAATGAAGAGAAGTTGCAGAGGGCCAGGTTTCAGCTTAGTGCAAGGCAATGCTTCCTAACAATCCTAGCTGCCCAAAGGTGGAATAGGCCTTTGTAAGGGAGTCTATTCCCCACCACTGGAGGCCTCCTTTTCAAGTACGAGTCTGCTGGGAATGCTGGAAAAGGGATTGCTATTCTAGCCCACATTAGACTAGAAGCTTCCAACTCTGAGACTCTGATTCTGTGATGCTGCTCTTTTGAGGGCCCTCTCTTCTGCAAAGGGCCCACACCCCTTGGAGGGTGACCACTCATTACACCATTATCAGTCATTTACACCTTATCCTGAATGAGTTTATTAAAGTTCTTCTTTCTGGCAGGAGCTGAGAGTAACTCCATGTAGAATATCAACCACCACAGGTTAAGTTTTAATTAAGAGGAGTAAGGATAGAGAGGCCCAAGGATAGGCACAATGTAGAGGGGACAACATGAAAGGCTACTTCCTTAGGGGAAGCAACAAAGGGGATGGGTCCCAAAGTTGGACTGTATCTTATTCATAATTTTGCTTTGAGATGTTCCCACTCACAGGGACTATGTGTCACCTCCTCCATGATGCCTTCCTTGACCCTGCAACTAAACATTTATAGATCCATAGATCTGGAACTTGGAAGGGACCTTAGAAGCCATAAATTCCTCTTTCCCTGAAAACCTTGTAAGTGCTTTGTGTGTCTTTCTCATTCTGCCTTATGTTATAGTTATGTGCCCTTGTCTTTATTTCCTCTACTAACCCCTTGAGGGTCAAGTGAATAACAAATATTTCTTAAGGGCCTACCATGTGCCAGGCACTGTGCTAAGTGCTAGGTTATTCTTATTCATCTTGGGGGGGGGGGTGGAGGGCAGCTACGTGGCGCAGTGGTTAGAGTTCAGGACCTGGAGTCAGGAAGATCTGAGTTCAAATCTGTCCTCAGGCACTAGCTGTGTGAAACTGGGTAAGTCACTTAACCCTTTTTACTTCAGTTTCCTCGTCTGTAAAGTGAGCAGGAGAAGGAAGTAGCAAACCACTCCAATATCTTTGCCAAGAAAACTCCATCGACTACAGAGTCATGTGGAGTCAGACCCGGACAGAATGACTGGACAGCAAGAACAATTCATCTAGGTACTTTACATCCTTTTTGAAAACAGGCACTGTGCATAGCAGGCTTGAACAATCAATATTGAATTGAACTGAACAAAATAACACCCAAGAGAAACAAAATGTTTCTTCCACCAAGCTCTGATGGAGGCAGGTAGTACAAATGAGGCTCGGCTTTGGGATTCTGGTTTGTCATGGGCCTCCAGTGACCAGCCATGATGCCAGAGGACTGATGAGATGATGAAGCTTGCTGCTTGACAGAGAAGTCATGGACTCGGGGACGAGTGAGCTACAGCTTTTGTCCACACATGCCAAGTGTGGGAATTTATTTTGTTTCTCTATGCATATTTGGTACAGGTGTTTTGTTTTTCCGTCCCATTTTTTTTTTGTGATGGAAGTAGTCAGTAGTAGGGAGAAAACACTGATTTTTGTTCAGTGAAAAATTAATTTAAAAAAATTAGGCTCTAAGTTACTAGTCTCCTCCATATCTACCAAAGGGAAAAAGTAAGAAATGTTTCTATATAAGAGAATTTCTCCTCCATTATCAGAGTACAGCAGCCCCAGAGGTAATCCCCTAAAAGCGCGTCTTTGAAGAGTGGCCCCATTATGTGACATGCGTTGGGGTGGGTTCCCTCAGCAGGAAGGGGCCCTGGATCATCTTCCGAGAACATCTGGCCTTAGCAGCTAATGGAACTAATGGATGATCGTCTGGTCTCCAGACCTTGCGTCCAAATTGTCCCAGCGGTTGATCTGTCACTGGGAGCATATGAATAGCACTTAAAAGGCTGCAGAAATAGTCCAGCCAAAACCAGTTCTCTCAAGCTTGTCTGGAATAATGGAAAATGCATTTGCTTTCTCCACTGACAGAGGAAACAGATGCTTCTAGGACCAAGAACCGAGACAATGTGCTGAGTTGGCAAAACATGTCTGTCTGGATTGGGCTGAAGATGGAGACCCACATCCAAGGCGTTAACTTGAAGCTCAAGGAACATTGCTTGTTTGAACACATAAAAATAAACTGCCTTACTGAAAAATCACTGATACTTTATCCCTTGAAATGAGTTCATTTAAATGTAAATAGTTACTAAGCAACTGTAGTTGGTTGTAGTGGTGCTCAGTGTTGTCTTTAATAAAACATTTAATTTAGAAAATACACTAATTCTATACAGTATTTTATATTTTTCAAAATACTTCCACATGGGACTGTTTCTCATCTTTTATCCCTTGCACGTCAAACGCTGCTGTTCACATTTTGTTATTGTTGTTGTTGTTTGGTCATTTTCAGTTGTGTCCAACTTTTCTTGACCCTATTTGGGGTTTTCTTGGCGGAGATACTGGGGTGGTTTGCAATTTCCTTCTCCAGCTCATTTTACAGATGAAGAAACTGAGGCAAACAGGGTTAAGTGAATTGCCTGGTGTCATACAGCTAGGAAGTGTCTGAGGACAGATTTAAATTCAGGTCTCCCTGACTCCAGGTCCTTAGCTCTAACTGCAGTGCCACCTAGCTGCCCCTATTTTGCACATAGTAAGTACTTAATGCTGATCTATCTATCTATCTATCTATCTATCTATAGATAGATAGATAGATAGATAACTATAATCCTCTTCCAGTATCAGTCTTAACCATTTAGAGAGCACTACTATACACATTATCTCGTATCATTCTCATGACAACCCCCTGAAATAGACAAGGAAGGGGCAGAGCTGGGAACAAGAATGCAATTGTTCAAATTCCTGATCTGACATGCCCTTTCCACTATACCATACTGTTTTCTCACAACAACTTTATGAATGAGTGTTACTACCATCTTTTTTACAGTTGAGGAGACTGAAATCTGGAGAAAGTAAATGACTTGGCCAAAGTCTGTCAGCAAGATAATGGCAGAGCCCAAACTGGAGTCCCAGGGCTCTTTCTATGTACCCTTACTGCCTGGCTGGCTGGCTGGCTGGATACTTTTCTTGTGGGGCAGGGCTTAAAGGTTGGAGGAATGCCAAAACTGCCATCATTCTCTGGGACCTATTTCCCAGGTCCTATGGTCCTTATTTTCTTCCCCTCAGTCATCCTACCACATAAGGGGAACTTTCATTCCCTTGATTCCCTTCCCCAAGAAAGAAAGGACATCCTCATCCTAGCTTTCAATTTCAGTTGTGAAGTAAATCCTATTCTCCCATCCTGTTTCCTTCTTCACTTCCAGATTGCTTCTCACAGGGCTGCTCAATTTGAGTTAATTGGCTTATCGCTAGTTTGTAAGAGATTTTTTTCCAAGTAAAGCCCGGGAGGATACAGATGCTAATGCAGGTGCAGATTGGAAAGGCAACATGGCCTAGTAGAAAGAATGAATGCTGAATGGGGAATCAGAAAAGCTAGACTTGAGTCCCTGGTCTGCCACTTACTAGCTTTGTAACCCCAGGCCAGCCACTTACACTCTGTGTCTCAGTTTCCTTACTTGTAAAATGGGCATATCCATCTTGCAGGGTTGTTGTGAGGCAAATGTGTATATAAATTCGGGTCATAACTGAGGTGTGGCACGAGAGCAAGCCGACTACTTCTCAACTCAGAGGTTGTCCCTCAATGTCTACAATGTCAGAAATATACTCATTTCTCCTCCCTAACACTATTGGGTTTTTTTCCCCTGTCTCGTTTACTTTTATTTTTATCCCCAGCACTTAGCTTAGTACTTGGCATACAGTCAGCTCTTAATAAATTATCTATCTATCTAGTTGTCTGTCTGTCTATCCATCTGTCTACTTGTCTGTCTGTCTTCCCTATCATAGAAAATAGTTTTTTTCTTTCCCAGAAACATCCAGTTTTCTTTCCATTTTTTGATGTTTTTTAAAATTCAATTTTATTATATTTTCAGATTTGCATTCTTTCTTGCCTTTCCAGCCCCTACCCCTCTCAAGAAAACAAAAACAAAACCCATTACAAAAATGTATAGTCAAGCAAAACAAATTCCTGCACTGGCTAGGTGAAAAGAAAAAAAAAACAAAACAGCCTCAATCTACGTTGAGTCCATCACCTCTCTACCTGGAGGTACCTTCTTTATACAACAGGCTCTCAACAGCAACCCCCAGGCAGAGCCAGGCTCAAACATTTCTGCAACTCACATGAGGTTTAAAAATTCCTTAACTCTCTTTCTTCCTCATGGACGTGTGAATCCAACTTTACTTCCTAAGAGGTAGCTTGTTTCAGTGATTTAGGTGCAGTGGGACTGGGCTTATACTCCAAGGAGGTCCCTGGTAAGCAGAAAATCCCCACACACACCAAAATATGTATAGCAGTACTTTTTGTGAGGGCAAAGAATTGGGATCCAAGTAGATGCCCATCGACTGGGAAGTAAATGGTGAAACAAATAGTGGAACGTCCATGTGTTATTATTACTGTGCTGTGTTGTTGCTTAGCTGTCTCAGTCACGTCTGACTCTTTGTGACCCCATTTGGAGTTTTCTTGGCAGAGATACTGGAATGGTTTGCCATTTCCTTCTCCAGACCATTTCAGAGATGAGGCAACTGAGGCAAACGGGGTGAAGTGACTTGCTCAGGGTCAAATAGCTAGTAAGTGTCTGAGACCAGACTTGAGCTCAAGAAGATAAGTCTTCCAGACTCCAGGCCCAAAACTCTATCTACTGCACCGCCTAGCTGCCCTAAGCCTTATAGTGACAGGCATCTAAAAGGAAGGGAAGGGAATAAACATTAATTAAGCACCTGCTATGTGCCAGGCACATATATTATGTCATTTAATCTCATTTATTTAATTTATTTTAATTTATTTAATCTTATAAATTAGTCTCATTTAATAGGTAGGTACTATTATAATCTTCATCTTACAATTGGAAAAACTGAGGTAAATGGGGTTAAGTGACTTGCCCAGGGTCACACAGCTAGTAAGTGTCTGAGGCCAGATCTGAACTCAGGAAGATGTGTCTTCCTGACTCCAGGCTCAGCACTCTGCACACTGTGGCGCCACCTAGTTGTCCATTACTGTGTTGTAGGAAGTGACAAGTATGATGACTATAGAGAAGCATGGAGCGATCCACCTGAACTGATGCAAAAGGAAATGAACAGAGCCAAGAAAACAGCATACACAATGACTACAACAATGAGAATGGAAAGAATCACCACCCCCCACAGACAACCACACACACACACACACATACAACACACACACACACACACACACACACACACACACACACACACACACAAACTCTCTCTCTCTCTCTCTCTCTCTCTCTCTCCCTCTCTCAAGCAACTGCTGCAAAATGACAAAGAACAAGCCTGGCTTGAAAGAGATACAAGAAGATGCTCCGACCCCACCTCTTATCTGAAGTGAGAGGCTTGTGAGTGTGGTCCACTTCACTTTTTTTTTCATATTTTTTGATGTATTGCTCAATTACGCTTTTTTCCCCCTCTTTCCTTTTTGTCTCTACAATTTTTTTTTTGCTTTATGGGAGGGGAAGGGATGCTGGGAGAATTTTAGTGATATAGAAAGAACATGTGTCATCAATAAAAATTTATTTAGAAAGAATGATCCAGCAGGAAGCAGCAACACCAGCAGTAACAGGTTGCCTGCCGTTACTCTGCTATGGAACAATTGTAAAAACAGCATTCACTGGACAACTTCTCACTTTAATGGATGCAGTCACCAAATAATAAATGGACCAAAATAGGTGTGCTTTACAAGATCACATTCAAGGACCATTTTGTCTCTACTCCATTAAACTTTGCATCTCTCCTTTCTTTCCACACACATGGACACGATAACATTTGGGTCACCTGGTTGGTTTTATGAGATCATGTTTGTATAACGTGGCGGGCAGTGTGTGTTTCAGAAATCGTGGGTGTGTGAAAGATGTCATCTAATGCCAGACAAGGCTAGGTGCAAAGTGACATGTGGTAAGAGAGAGGGTGGGGGAGGAGGGAGATACAGCCTCACCAACTCCTCTACCATCTCTGCTGACTGACTCTTTTCCTTGATAAATTTCTCTCTGGATTCATAAGCAGTCTAGTGTATGAATTTGATCAAATTTGTCCCAAATGCAGAAGGCTTTCTCTCTGTTTGCCCTAACCTTTGCCACTCCCTTTTTGGAGTGAGAAAAATGTGTTCTCCTTTTGGGTTAGCTTCGCAGCTCACAATCCCAAATTGTGCAATTATAAGCCTGGATAGTGTGATCAAATAGCATAAAAACACATATAGGGATTAAACAAATTATAGCTGTTTACAAAATATGGCTTGCAGGAGGAGGGGAGAGGTGGTAGGCCTGTTTTCTCCTTCCTGCTAGTCAGAGAGGAAAACAAGAAAAATAGTCGGAGAGAAGTTGCCTCAGGCAGCCAAGGGAAGGGTGTGGGGATGAAAGGGGTGGGAATGAGCTGTGGGCTGTGCTTCATTCTCACCAGCTGCCAAAGCTTCTGGCTTCTGGTCAGTTCTTCTGGTATGGCCAGGACCTTGTTTCCACTACTGGTCTTATTTTGCTATTCTCTGCTTTCCTGGGCAAGGGGCCAGCATGCCCATCCCCACCTACTTTCTGGGCTTGGAAGAAACATGGACCTAGTTGTGAATTATTCTTTAACCATCACAAGTTTGCCTCGTTCTACCATAGTCTGCTCAAGGAGAGGGACAATGTTCTAATTTTCTCATGCTCCACTCACATCCCTCAGCGCCCTTTAATATCTCATATGGGGGTACCCACATAACAAATGGTCAGCCAGTGCTATTGACTAGAGTTGAATTCCTTGGCCTTATGACTCCCTGCTCTTCAAGCCTAGAGAGTGGAGGTCATGGCTTCTCTATGTCAAGGGCCAGAGTGTCAAGGCTAGGATGCAAGCCTGAAAATCTGGGGCCTCAGGTACTTCTAGAAGGACTATGGCAATAGGGACTAGCAGAGGTCAGAAGACCCGGATTTGAGGTCAGGCTCTGTTATCAATTAGCTGTGTGACATGGGGAGAGCCATAAGATCTGAGAATTAATAGGACTTTGAGTTGGAAAGGACCTTAGGAAACATCTAGTTCAACCCATCAGGCAGTCATCGAGCATTCATTTTTTTAAAAAGTCTATTTTATTTTTAATTTATGGAATAAAACAGGCATTTCCATAACATAGTA